CCAGGCTTCCATATTTTGTAACAGCCAATGGATGCGTGATTGAGTGTAGGGCTGTATAATGGTAGAGGGTTCTATTCCAAAGTATTTTCTACTGTTCTCTCTTCCCAAGATAATTAGATCAGCTATGGCATCATAATAAGGCAACAAAACCTTTTTAGGGGAGGAGGGCAGGTGTACCCACATAATGGGATTGTTCTGCCAAAATAGGCCAGTAGGGGTTATTGTTGTGTTAAAAATAAGGAATATTAATGGCTGAGAATACTCAATACCGGTAACAAATTGTGTTGCAATGGCATGTTCTACCTGTTGGAGTGTTATTAATGCTTCTTTAGTAATGGACCTGGGGGATTTTGGATTAGAGTCTCCTTTTAATATATCGAAAAGAGGTTTTAACTCTCCTGTGGTGAGCTTTAAGTACGGTCGAAGCCAATTTATGTCTCCCAGTAATTTTTGGAAATCATTTAAAGTTTTTAAATGATCACGATGTATAACGGCCTTTTGATTAATGATTTTGGGTCCATTAATCTGGAAACCAAGATAAGTGTATGGATCTTGTAATTGTACTTTTTCTGGGGCTATTTGTAGTCCGGCTGCTGTTAACTCTTGTTTGAGTTGGGCGAAGCACTGTAAGACTTGTTCGCCAATTTCTTCTGCTATTAAAATATCATCCATATAATGTATAATATACATTTGTGCCCATGTTTTTCTGACTGGCTCTATAGCGGCAGCTACATATTTTTGACACAAGGTAGGACTATTGGCCATACCTTGAGGTAAGACTTTCCATTGATAGCGCTTCATTGGTTGTTTAAAATTTGTAGATGGAAGACTAAAGGCAAATCTTTTTTGGTCAGCAGGGTGAAGGGGAATTGTAAAAAAGCAATCTTTAAGGTCAATAACGATTTTAAAATATTTTTGAGGAATCGCAACCGGTGAAGGCAATCCTGGTTGTAAGGCACCCATAAGGATCATAGTGATATTTACTGCTCTTAAATCTTGTAAGAGTCTCCATTTACCAGACTTCTTTTTAATAACAAAAATAGGTGTATTCCAAGGGGAATTACTTTCCTCAATATGTCCTGCTGTTAGTTGTTCCTGCACTAACTGTTGGGCAGCACTTAGTTTATCATTGAGTAAAGGCCACTGATCAACCCAAACGGGCTCATCTGACTTCCAAGTAATGGGGTCAGCGCACCTTTGGGGTGCAGGTATGTCAGTGGCCTGAGCTAAAAATTTCCAAACCCCTTTTTATCAAATTGTCCTGAAACCAGTATAGGCTGTGGGATACCGTTCTCTCCTTTTCCAAGACCTTTACCAGGGGTGTATCCTTGAGTCAACATTTGTGCAGTAACTATATCATTTGGACTACACATTATAATTTTCATTTGAGAGAGCAGATCTCGCCCCCAAAGGTTAACAGGTAGGTAAGGGATGACAAATGGCTTAATGAGGCCTGAATTGTTTTCTTTATCTGTCCATGTTAGGTATTTAGAACTTTGTTTAGGATTACTGCTTTGTCCAATTCCTCTCAAGTGAGTTAAAGTTTCTGTGGTAGACCAATGAGAGGGCCAATCTTCCTGTTTAATGATAGTTACATCAGCCCCAGTGTCTATTAGTCCAGTGAATGCCTTCCCGTCTAACCATAAGGTTAGAGAGGGTTTTTGATTTGTAATTGGTTGCACCCAATATATATCTGATGATCCGAAACCTTTTATATTTCTATTAGAGTATTGGATATTATTATCTGTTTTAACCAAAGGTAGCAGGAGTAACTGAGCTATTCTAACTCCTTGAGGGACAGTAATAATACTATCAATAGCTCTGGCCATAATTTTAATTTCTCCTTCATAATCTTTATCGATAACTCCAGGGAGGACTTGTAAGCCTCTCATGGTGACACTACTTCTTCCTAAAAGTAGCCCAAAAGTGTTAGGTGGTAAGGGTCCATATATTCCGGTATTTAAGGTTTGCGGTCCCATTTCAGGTGTTAGTATTGTGTGGGAGGTGGAACTGAGGTCCAATCCTGCACTTCCTGGGTTGCTCTACTAAGTTTTGAAATGGATTGCTGTTGCTGGCTGGAACAAAGCTGACTGCCCCATATGCTTGTTTCGGGGCCTGAGGCTGGCCCTCATCCCGTTTCCCTGCCTGGGGGGTAAAGGATTTCCTTGACTGTCAGTTTTAGATTTACATTCGTTTGCCCAGTGCCTTCCTCTTTTACACCTTGGGCAAAGGCCTGAGATTTTTGCTTCTGGACTCTTATTTTGGTTTTCACAGCAATCTTTTGCAAAGTGTCCCCTTTTACCGCATCTAAAACATCCCCCTTTATCTTACCTTTGTTAATGAGGAAATCTCTTACTGTTTGGCCGCTAAAAGCGGCGGCCATTGCTAGGCCTTGTTGATATGAGGGCCCAATATCTGAACAAAGGCGAATGTATCCTGTTAAATCTGTTTTCTTTCGATAAGGTCTGATTGCCGCTTGGCAGGCGGGGTTAGCATTTTCATAAGCTAACTGTTTAACATAATCTACACCCGTTTCTGCATTTCCAAAGATTCTACCTGCCGTGGTCATAAGTCTATGCACAAAGTCTGAAAATGGCTCATCGGGTCCTTGTTTAACCGCTGTGAGCGAGGCCCCTGGATCTCCTTTAACGGGAAGTTTTCTCCAGGCTTTTGTAGCAGCAGCCTGGATTTGTGAGAACAGTCCAGGGTCATATTGCATTTGGGCCTGAGTGTCTGCATAATTACCTGAACCAGTTAACATATCAAAATCCCAACCGTTTCCTGCCTGTTGATTTCTTTTAGCTGTATCTCTACAATTTTCAAAGAACTCTAACTTCCAAATTAAGTGGTCTCCCCCAGAAAGAACTGCCCTGACTAAGGTATTCCAGTCTGTAGGAGTGAGCCAATTCTCAGCTACAGATTCCACTATAGCAAGAGTATATGGAGCAGTAGCCCCATACTGAGAGGCAGCAGTCTTTAACTCTTTTATAATAGTAAAATCAAATCCAGTATGATGCCTCCAAGCCTGTCCCTGTTCATCTATGGTTTCAGTGACCGGAAAAACGTCTTTGGGGGAGGAGTCTTCTCTATGTCGGCTAGCAACTAACCCCCCTCTTGGAACATGTTGTCCAGGCCGCTGAAGTGGGCGCAAGGAACCCTCCATAGCGTCTGAGTTAGGTATTTTTTCATTTCCTGTTTTTAGCTTTTGGAGCCTAATTATCAATGATTGATGTAACTCTTCAAGTTTAATCTGTTCTTCTAGTTGAGCAATTTTTTGCTTTAATTCTTCTTTGGGATCTATTGCTGCCATAACAATGGGCGCAGAAGCCTCATTATGTGTCTTATTATATGGGGGTGGGTATGAAGAACAGGGAGGCAAATCAGGGTTATGATATTTAGCCGCCTCTTCCTCTAAATCATCCCAATTTATATCCGATTGATTAGGCTTATTAATTTCCTCCTCCTTTTGAAGCATCTGTAAAATTGGGTATTTTTTTGGTTTGTTTTCGTGTGGTATTTCTTTATCTGTTACAGAAGGAGACTTGATTTCCTCATGATCACTTTCGAGGGAAATGAGATCTTCCTCCGTATCTTGCGGAGGCTTTGTGAGGTTAGAGCGGGAGCTAACCTTTAAAATATGCTCTGTCTGAGCGACCGCAGCCATGACTTGCGGATCGGCCTCCTTCTTATCTATTAAATCTCTAATGAGGTTCCAATAAGAGAAGGCGGTTACAGGAATTTTTTCTGGCCCAAAAGTATTATAATAGTCCTGAAAACAATCCCCTACTCTACGCCATCTTTTAATATCAATAGTTCCTTCCTGTGGGAACCAAGGGCAAGTATCTTTTACAAAATCAAAAAATTTAAACAAATCATTACCTTTAACCTTTACTCCTCGTATCTTTAAAGCCTCTTTTAATTGTCCTACATATATTTGATGTTGGCTTAATTCTTGTCCCATTTCGGACGCGTCACTTACCTTCGATCCTGACGTGGCAGGTTCCCGTGGTGATCGGAAGAGTTTGACTCCTTTTGTCTTCGTTAGCGGTCGACCGTCCTTTGGCGTCCTCTTCCTCACGGAGTCCCTCGTTTCCAGGTCCCTGTTCGGGCGCCACGTATCCCGGCCCGCGGGATAGTGAGTGCAGGCCCTGGAGGAGGGGGTGGGAATTTGGGGAACAAGAGACACGAGAAATGGAGACAAGACAGTGCTCTGATCAAGTCTCGTTTAATGGCGGTAATGCACTGCCTTATATACACTTGGAAGGGAAGGGGTTGGGCTAAGGCGGAAATGATCTCATTGCCGAGGGCGTGGCCAGGTTAGTTTCGGTTTCTCCGGTCGGATGTCATGTTGCGCTTGCGCTGTTAAGTAACAATTTTCCCAGGCGCGGGAAAAGTGAGTGAAGAAGAAGCAGGAAGAGCGCCATCTTTAATGAGGTATTAGTACAGGGGAAAAAAGGCAAAGATAGGGAGAAGGTGTGGGGTGGAAATGAATATAGCTCAGGCGTTTAATCCTCAATTATTATTCGCTATGGCTGGGGCGTGCAGCTCCGGACAGGTAGGCAGAGGCCCTACACTCAGGCTCAGCGACCCCGCTCCTCCTGCTCCTTTCCTGTGCTTTTGTCTGAGGTGGTCTCCGACACTTGAGTAGATGTCCCATGGCCTGTGGCCATGGGGGCCCTGAAGCCCTCAGACTGCAGCCTCCCTCCCACCCGCCTCCTCCAGCTGCCCTGGGTCTGCGGCTGCAGCTTTGGCCCCACCTGGCCAGTCTTCCCCACCCCACCCTCTTTCAGTCCACCCGTACCTTCTGGAGTCCCCTGGAGAGTTGCCATTGGAGGGCCCGGCCCTGGGTGACAGTAGGGTGGGAGGATGGAGGAGGCCGGCATCCCCAGTGCAGATACCCCTTTGGCCTGGCTGCTCCGCTGGGCTGGCAAGGCAGGTGCCCATGGGTGAGGGCTGCTGCCAAGTCCCACCACCTGCTGACCGGCTCTCATCCCTCCCAGTGCTCAGGCAGGCGCTGCGGCAGAAGCACCAGGAAGCCCAGCAGGCCTGCCGGCCCCACAACCTGCCTGTGCTTCAGGCGGCTCAGCAGCAAGAACTACAGGTATGGGGGGCACAGGCAGGGTGGCCAGCCCAGGTCTCTTGTGGGCACCACCTGGCTCTGCTGACTGGGCTGTACTGAAGGGGTGTGGGGGCCTCAGGCGTGGGTGGCTACCCTGGGCCTGAGTGGGCCACTGGAGGCCTAGTGAGTCCCACCAGGTGGCTCCTCCCTGAGGGTGCCAGGTGTGCTGGGGCTGGGTGGAGGGTGAGGGCCCACCGTTGCTCCCCTGGATAGCAGCTCCTCGTAGGTTGGGGCCTCCGCAGAGCAGGTGGCCTTGAGGGGGTACAAGGGCAATGGTGGGGTGATGGGGCCAGCCAGGAAGGGGCCCATCCTTCTCCCAGGGAGCACAGGGACAACCAGAGACTGGCATGTAACCAACAAGCCATGGGGCAGGGTGTGCCTGTGGAGATGTGTGTGTGGTCCCAAGGCAGCCCCAAGTTAGGGCATTTGTGGAAGCCCCTTAGGGCCCCCTTCAGGAGTTCGCATGGCCGAGGAGAGGCCTGGGTGTGCTGAGGATGCATCGGTGGTGTCAGAGCTGGTGCTGCTGGGGACGGCAGCAGGAGCATGTGTTTGAGCTGCCCTCCCCCTCCCGCCCCACCCCCCATGGCAGGCGGTGGAACACCGGATCCATGAGGAGCAGCGGGCGATGGACCGGAAGATCGTCCTGGAGCTGGACCGGAAGGTGGCTGACCAGCAGAGCACACTGGAGAAGGCGGGGGTGGCTGGCTTCTATGTGACCACCAACCCACAGGTCAGTGCCTGGGCCTGCTCCGCCCTAGCCCGAGTGCCCCTGGGCCCCAAAGACCCCATTCCATCTGGGGTTTCACCGCTGGTCCCTGGGGAGCCAGGCTCAGGGTATAGGGGGTGAAGTGGAAGGATTGAGACTCTGGAAAGGATTTCTCTGCCATTCCCAGCACGGAGGCCAGGCCCATTCCCTACAGGAGGGTGAGCCAGCCAGCCACGGGGCACTGCCCACCCTCCCCAGGCCTGCTGTGCCCCACAGGGCCCTCTTCTGCTCCCCTCCCACATGCCATTCCGAGTGGCCCTGCTGGGGGCAGAGGCTCAGATTCTACCCTGTCCTGGCAGGCCATGACCAGGCTTCACAGGATGGCCGCCCTGTGGGCTCACTGCCTGGCACCCTTGGGCCGGGGTGAAAGGGGCCCGGGGGTCACTCTGGCCTTCACGGTGCCCCTCTGTATCCCAGGAGCTGATGCTGCAGATGAACCTGCTGGAACTCATCCGGAAGCTGCAGCAGAGGGGCTGCCGGGCAGGGAAGGCAGCCCTGGGACTGGGAGGTCCTTGGCAGCCACCTGCTGCCCAGTGTGACCAGAAAGGCAGCCCTGTCCCACCATAGCCACAGGCAGCAGAAGTCTGGGCAGAGTTCATCTTCTGACCTTTGGCCACTGCCTTCCCAGCTGCCCACAGGGGTCCCCTGCTGAGGAGAGGCCGGGTGAACCCGGCTGCCTGTCCCCCTGCGTCTGGGACTTGCTGCCAAACGCTAGGTTGGTCTCATAAAAGGAAGGCCGGCCCAGCCTGCCGCTGTCTGCTTCAGGGCCCGGCAGAGAGTGAGGCCGGGGGTTCTCACACCTTCTCACTCCACGGGGCACATCCCAGCCTGCACCGCGGGCCACCCGAGTGCTTGTTCTGGTCTCAGCCGCTCCCTTGGCAGCTGCAGCCCCCATGCAGAAGAGGCTCCGAGACCCAAGCTCTGTGTGACCCAGAGAAATAAAGATGCCTCAGTGTGGCCCGCGTGTGGCTTGTGTGACAGCTGCAGGTTCTGCCATAACCAGGGCCCCAGTAGGGCCCCCGCCTCTGCTGCAGCAGAGGCCTCTGCCTGGGGGCCCCTTCCTGGGCTGTGTGCCCAGCCCGCCACCCCTCCCCCTGTACGGAGACTGGGACCCTCCAGCCTTTCCTGCCCCAGCCCTGCTCCCAGGATGCTGTCACTGCCATCTGCACGGGGCCCCCATCCAAGCCCCAGGGCATGAGGACCACATCCAGCCTGCTTTGTGGGGCTGGGGGCTGGAGAGTGTGGGAGAAGACCCGGGGTGCAGGTGTGCGCCTGCCGCAGCCTGGTCAGTGTCCTGTGGGAACCACTAGGAGGCGCCTGATGCAGGTCACTGGGGTAGAGGACTCCGGGTGGCAGGAGCCCCAGGGGAAGGCGTGCCAGGCCCACGTAGAGAGCTTGGCCTCTGCATCTGCATGAGTCCCCTCCATGCTGGCCTGGGCCCATGGGCCCTGCTGGGTCCTTGTGGAGTCAGGGTTGGGGGTGTCCAGGTCTGCGCAGGGCCTGGCCTCCAGGAACAGATGATGCTGGAAGCCAGAGTCTGGGGTGAGACTTCCCTGACCTTGTCTGAGCCACTCCCTCTTTGCTGCCCAGAGCTGACCCTGTGTGAGGGCAAGGGCTGTCAGCTGCAGGAACAGTGGTTTATTGACCAGGCAGGGCCTCCCCAGCCCGGCCTCTGCTCCCCGAGGGGCTCGGGCTGTGTGGGCTGGCCCTGGCAGAAGGCGGACAATCCTCTAGGCCCAAGGACATGGGGGTCACAGAGGTAGGGGCCTTGGGCCCACACATCCGGGGAGAGTTCCCAACCGTTCCCTGCAGCTATCCCAGGCAGGTAGCAGGTTTGGCCCACACCTGAGTGCCCAGACCCTGGGCAGGACTGGGAGGTACCTGACCCCACCTCCAGCAGCTCTGCAAGTGTGGAGTGAAAAAAGGTGAGTCTATGTGAGGATGGGGTTGGTTACAACTGTGGTGACGGCCTGGGGTGGGCGCGGGGGGGCCTGGAGGCCGAGGGTGGGCTGGCGGGTGCTAGGCAGGGCGACGGAAGAGGTTGCCAGTTCGGAGCCGCCGCAAGAGTTCCAGCCACAGCAGCTGCCGCTCCCGACGGGCGCCCTTCATGAGGCTGCTGTTCTCCAGGGCGCGACGGGACAAGTAGGGCAGCACCTCCATCACGGGGCCGTAGGGCACGTACTTGTACACGGGGTAGCCAGCCTGGCCTGCAAAGGGGCAGATACGCCATGAGGTACAGGCCCAGAACCGCACCCCATCACACCAGGGAGGGCCCCACTCACCCAGCGGGAAGCTGATCTGGTCACACATGCCTAGCAGCTGTCCAAAGTACACCTGATGGTCAGCGGGATGCAGGCACAGCTCCTCCATCCTATGCAAGTGGAGCCAGGAGCTGAGGGCCAGTTCCAGGACACTGTCCCCGGTACAGGGGTACAGGGCTCCTGTCCCAGCTCTGAGCCCGTCCTACTACCCCAGGTTCCCCATCTACACTCTTCAGACTTCATCCCCTGCAAGGTGGGGCTGGGGTGTGGGCTCTGCCTGGCCCTGCCCCAGTGAGGTCTCTTCTCAGCAGGACTCTGCTGGGCTGCCCTACTCTTCTCCCTGGGGAGGCCTCAGCCCTTAGCCAACAAGATCCTCCTCCTGCTTTCCCCACCCTCCCCTCTGCCACCTCTCCTCTACCTCCCTTCCTGGAGGTGCAGCCCTTCCTGGGGCCCTGACCCCCACCCAGCAGCCTGCCCCACAGGGCAGGGAAGCTCCTCGGCTCTCCTGCCATCCCTTCCTCAAGCCCCTCCAGGGTTCTGCGGTATGACTGGTCTCTGGCCCTCTGTGGGCTGCTCCTCTGCCCCATCCCCACAGCTGCTCTGTCCCACACAGCTGCCACCAGCCCGAGTCCTCGGAAGGCGGCTGCCCTGAACCGAGATGTGCTGCACATGTCACATACACACGGGATTTAGGAGACTTTGTAGAAACATAATACTCAATGCTGCGTTGCTTTTCTAAAAGCAGCTGGAATACGATTTGAAGTAATATTTTGTATATTTTGGGTTAATTAAAATATATTCTTGAAATTCATTTTCTTTTTTAATGTGGCTACTAAAGAATTTTGCAGATGTGGCTTGTATTATATATCTGTTAGCACTGCTCAGATATTGGGGTGAGGCCCTCAACTTTGTCCTGTCTTCACACCACCCCTGACAGGGTCTTACAAAGATTCTCAGGGTTTGAAATATCCATGCAGTGACAGTTCTCATGTTTCATCTCCAGCTTCCTATGTCCAGGTATCCTGACTTAGCCGGTCTGCACAGCACTGGGGCCCCCACCCTGGGCCAAGTTCCACCTGTTCCTCACACATCACCTGGGTGACTGGCGGGGCCTGTGCTGTGCTTCCCACTCCCTCCCCGAGGGCCTCACCTCCCCTGTTCTCTCCCCGCCCCAGCCCTGGCTCCCAGAGTACCCATCAGCCAGAGGCCCTTTCCCTCCATCCCTGGGCTGCGCTCCAGTGTCGGGACCACCCAGTCTAAAGCAGGCACCCGTCTCTGCCACATCGCCCTGGTCTCCATCGTGTGTCTCCCTCAACCCCAGGACAAGAACCCGAGAGCCGGGCTGCCACTGCTGGCTGCCCCCTCCCCTGTGGTGTGCACAGCCTCTGCCACGTGACTGCAGCTCCCCCCAGTGCCGGGCAGCAACTCACTCCGCCTGGCATCTGGGCTTGACCTCATGAGGCATTTTGGCCAACAGGGAGGTACCAAAGGTGACACAAGCAGAGGCTTGCCCTCTCCAGGCCTTCTGGAAGCCTGAGCCCACCACATGCCCAAGCCTGGGCTGGCCTGTGAGACACTGGACCTGGGTACAGCCTCCTTTACTGCCCCAGCCATGAATGAGCTCATTAGGCCCCACCGGCCCCAGATCACAGATGCAGGAGGGACACAGGCACGGCCAGCGGCAGAAGCATCAGCTGAGCCAGCCCGCCCAGGCCTCCAGAACATGCCACTGTTTCAGCCTCTAAGTTTGGGGCGGGTTGGCTCCTCGGCCAAAGCCAACGCGGGTTGTTTGAGGGTGGGTGGTGTGGCAGTCTGGGCCCGGCATAGGACAGAGCAGCTGCCATAGTCTAGAAGCACTTACTCAGGGGAGGGGGCCCCAGTTCCCCAGAGCTCCCCAGCCACCCACTGCAGGGGCACAGAGCTGAAGCCTGCAGGGGTCCAGCCTCAGGCAGGGTTGTGAGCATGGTATTGGGGGAACCTGGCACACGGCCCTTGGGGCCATGAGGAGCGAGCCCAGCTGCCACTCAGGGGAGGGGGAAGCTGTGTCCAGTGGGGAAGCCACTGCCACAGCAAGACAGTGGGGACAGACAGGTGCCAGGGGGAAGCTGGAGAGAGGAAGCCCTGCTGAGGGCAGGCTGTCCTTTTGGAGTTGGATGGTGAGGTGTCTAGTCAGGCTGTGAGCCCACCAGCACTGAGAGTCCACGCAGAGGCCGGGAGTCCTGATTACAAGCTGAGAGGACCCACCAGCTCCCGAGTGCTGGCTCCTGCTGGCCGCCAGGCCTGTGCGTGTGGAGACAGTGAGTCTGTCCCATCACCAACACATCTGTGACAATTAGCAGAGGGTCAGGGCACAAAAGCGAGTGTGCTGCAATTTCAGGCCATGAAAAAGCAGCAGCATCGTGAACAAAGGCTGAATGTGGACATAAGTGAATGATTTCAGAGCCATGAGTCAGCTCCCCGAGCAGCACCAGGATGTGTCCTGTTGGCTGCAGCCCTGGCCCCAAGCCTGGCCCTGTGGCTTCACAGCTCCTTGGGGAGCCCCCTCGTGCCACAAGCCCTGGATCTGGAACACCCTGCCCTGCTGTGGAGTGGAATCTCTGCTCAGCTCCTAGGAAGGTGACAGCCAGCGAGGCCACTGCCCAGGCCCCCGAGGGTTCTAGGGGTCCCATCCCTGGGAAGGCGGAATCTGGGAGGGGAGGGGGACCTAAGACCGCATAGCTTGGGCTAAGGCATGAGATAAAACCAGGGTGACAGTACTGGAATATCCAAGAACTGACTTCACCTAACTGCTGCATTTGACTTGTTAGAATTCTACCAAAGTTGTGCTCCATGGGACACATGTTTAAAGGGAAAACAGACCGTTACATTCCAGATGTAGTAAAAATGTTAAGGGAACTGCTTATAAATGAGGCGGCGCTGTGGAGGCCTCCTGAGGGACTGGGCTCCAGCACTGCATCTGTACCTTTCAGGAGCCCTCCGAATCCCCTAATGAAACTTAGGTTTTTACTTTGGAAGTTTAATAAGTCAGATGTTAATTTTTAAAAGTCTGGGTACAGTGGCTGATGCTTGTAATCCCAGCACTTTGGGAGGCCAAGAAGGGAGGATCACTTGAGGTCAGGAGTTTGAGACCAACATAGTGAAACCCTGTCTCTGCTAAAAATAAAAAAAAAACTAGCCAGGCATGGTGGTGCACACCTGTAATCCCAGCCACTTGGGAGGCTGAGGCATAAGGAATTGCTTGAACTTGGGAGGTGGAGGTTGCAGTGAGCCGAGACCATGCCACTGCATTCCAGCCGAGGTGACAGAGCGAGATTCTATCTCAAAAAAAGATGTTAATTTTAAAAACCAACGTAACTGCAAAGAGCCTTTGTGCTCTCACAGTCCAATGTCCAGAAGGCCGGCAGACCTGGGCCTGCAGGGCACTGAAGCTGCCCTCCAGTTCATTTCACCAACCTTTCCCCACAACCGTCCGCCTGCACCCAGCAGGTTGCTCTGCCCACCCTGAGCTCTGCGCTGCTGCCACCTCTCCCCAACCAGAAGAGCCAACGGCTCGGGTGGGGTGACGATGCAGGGTGGGGTGACGATGCAGGGTGGGGCGCACCTACCTGCGCAGCGTGAAGCGCACTGTGTCCTCGTTGTGGGAGGCCACCATCACCTTGGCCTTGGTGTTGTGCTTCAGCTCCTCCAGCACGTAGTCCAG